ATAATTACTCCTTCATTTAATCACTTTAGTAATTTTAAGCAATTTTATGAAGAAGCACCTCTACTTCTATGGAGAATCACTTTTTATGTCGTTCTCCCCATAATCGCTTAGAATCACTTAAAGTGGTTACAGTTTGGCATTGATGTGCTATGAAAATAATCATTGTCAAATTTGCTGTGACTGAAAGTTGTTTGGCATTTGGTAAACTTTTTGTCAAAAATGATATTGGTATAATAATCAGTTTATGAGTATTTGGTAAATTTTTGTGTGAAAGTATTGTGAGCTTTGTATAATGACTAAACAGGATATGAAGTTGAAATTATTTTTGTTATTTAAGTGTTTTGTGATATTAAAAAGAAAAATCAAGCTCACTTTTATTTTTGCCAAAACAGTCTCACTTTCAACTATACAAATATTTTATTAAATATTTTTGTTGAGAGAGATACCCTAAAACAATAACATTTTTTAAAACAGTAAAACAGAACCCCCTATGCACCATTCTCCCTCCCACAAACATATCCACCTTGATCTTAGAGCAACTCCACCCATTTGCCCCTTGCCATGGCAAAGGGGGTGCTAGGGCAGCCACTATTCACATGAATAGTGGTTGCCCTTGCAAATAGTATATTTTGTGTTTCCACCCGTTGCCATGGCTAAGGGCAATTACTATTCATTTTTTTGTTTTTTACAAATTTTTTTACCTCAATAATTAATTTGGATAATATTTTCGGATAAGATTTTTGGTGTGGGAAGTGAAAAATATGACTAAGTATTTATTTTTAAAAAATCTGAATTTTTCTGGTTTTTTTTTCAATTTTTTTCAATTTTTTTTATTAAAAAATTGTTGCTGACGTCAGCAGCCCTCGTTTTGGACCTCAGGCTGAACTGGCCTTCGGGCCAGCCCGAGTTGCGTGGAACCCACTCCAGCCTGTGCTTGGGCTCACCGCTGGAAACCAATTTTTGGGAAAAACTCCCCCAGCCCGAGGCAAGGGGGCCTCGGTGGAACTGCTCTTATGTTTAGCTTTACTTGTTGTTTGGGGCATTTAGCCCCCCTCAATCATCAACAACAAAAAAAAACTCTACACACATGTCAAACTGTGATTGGCAAAAAAGTAGGAGTTTCTACTTCCAGAAAATGAGGCAAGTATTTTCCTTTTAAAATATAAATTGAGGATATGTTATTGGCACCCTAAGAACAATAATAATTCCCTGCTCCCTTACAAAAACATAAGAGAGAAATTACACCTAAATGAGTGCAAAATTATTTTTTTTGGAGTGGCCATAACAGTTCTTTAAATTAAAATGTACAAGTGATATTGGGAGAAAGAAAATTAAACCTAAGACTTTAGGTACATAGTAAATATTCTTAACCACTTGAGCTACAAATCTCTTGCGCTATTCTTTTCAATTAGACACCTCAAATTTTCTATGGTCTAGGTCCCGCCATGTTGTCCATCCGAGATTTGCAAGGTTTTCTAGCGGGTTCCTGTTTCCCTTTTTTCGGCCAAGGTGGCCGACGGAAAGAACTGTTGGTCCTTCTTCTCTTGGATTGCATAGGCATGCCACCACCAAGCCATTGATTGGCTTGAATGGAAAAAGTTGGATTGTTGTGTTCGCGTTTCTGACTTCTAACCAGCCGATTGATCGGCCAAGCAAGGAACCTCCTCTTGCCCTAGGTTCTTTCACTTCTTCGGGGTCGAGGATGGTTAGGTTTCGTATGGGTATTTTAGTATTTTTTGAGATTTAATGATAATGATGCAAATTAAATTAAAAGATGCGATTAAACTTAAAGACAAAAATTAAAGTGCAGTAAAGTAAATCAAAGCACTAGACAAACGTAAATTGAACAAAGAACAAAATAAGAATGATATGAACGATAAAGACAATAAAACAAAGCAATATGAAATTAAATTCAACTTAAAGCAAATTCGATAACAATTTAAAAGTAAAGCAATAAACTTGAATCTTAAAACAACGTAATGGAAAATGCAAGAAATAAAACTTACACTAACGAAAGTGAAGAACTGATCTAGTCTACTTGTTTGGAAAATAAAAACCTAGTCTAGGGATAGGTTTTTGTGTTTGATGTCCAAAGGGGCCTTTTGCTCTTTGTCTGATGAGGTTTATATAAAGGCATTCGTTAGCCCATGGTCTGGCCATTAAATGGCCAAAGGTCAACTTCATTCAAATCTTTCCTTGTGTGGCTTCCTAATTCTGCGGAATTGATTCGAATGAGATCATCAGATTGCAAATCTGATCACTTGATTCTCTCCTATTCAGGAATGTTTCAGATTGACATCACTCTCTTTGATTGCTTTCCTTGGATGGATCTCGTCACGTGCATGAAAACAGCTGGAGGTTTTGGGCCTACTTTCGCGGGTTGGGCTTGGACCTCCAAGGACTTGGGCTTAACATCTGGTGAGACGTTGTAGCTTCCGGAGTCTTTAGTCCAAGTATCATAAGGGAAAAAGAGTTTTTCACAAACACACACACATGCAAACAATGTGTCATTGAGATTCAAACCTAAAATCAATGCCCTTTTTCTTATTGGGCTAAACCTTTTTGACAAATTTCACTTCATCACTAAATCTTATCAAATTGATGATAGACAATCATATATGTGTATAAGGGCTAGTTTGGCATTGCTGTGCTGTGAAAATAATCGATGTCAGAGAAATCAGCTGTGAGATAAAGTAGTTTGACGTTTGGTAAACTTTTTGTTAAAAGTATTGTTGGTGTTGATTCCTGCATAATTAGAAAAAAAATTGCAGCATAATCATTAAACCTAGCGCCCTCTTCGAAACTGATTCCTGCATAATCAGAAAATGAAAGCACCTCATTAGCTGCTTTCCCTTATAGCTTTCTCTCACAACAATTTTTAACAATAAGTGATTTTCTCATAGTTTACCAAACGGTCTGGGCTTCCCAAATTTTTAAAAAAATCACTTATCACCCCAAATAAGCAATGTCAAACGGGCACTAAGACTTCATAATCATATTAAGAAGTGAACACAACACTTTATTGTATTAAAAATTAATACTAATTCAATTTGTTATTTATTTAGGAAACTACATAATGCTTATAAATCCACGTTAAGCAATAACTAATCTTAGCTAGCTCATATTATCATATCACTTTTGAATTTAAATGCGAACCTTAAAAGAATTGAAAGATAGAAAAAGAATGGATGATGTGACGAATGTTCGGATGAGAGAGAGTTTATAGAGTTTGAAAATAGGGGAATTCTTGATGGGCAAAATGAGGGAAGTTCTAATGTGAGAAAGGAAAAATGAGATAAAACAAATAAATATATAAAGGATGAGATAGTAGGCAATTAGTGTAGCGGAGTTCCAACGGGAAAGGGGAGGGGAATGGCGGCCGCCTCCTCCTCCTCATCTTCCTCATTCCTTTTTTTTATTTATTAAATATTTTTTTATTTATTAAATTTAAAATAAAAAATATATAGTCTTTAACATTTTAAGAAATAAAATTGATGATTCTTCGAAGTATTTTAGATTGTTTAGTAAACTTTAGAAAATATAAAGTAAAATACTAGAAAATTATTCTAACTCTCTAACACAGACTAGACTTTACGTAAGTTGGATGTGATTTTATACTTTTATAGTAACCATCATCTCATGTGAGAGAGTTGGAATAACTCTTGGATGTGTAGTTATTACTCAATGATAAAATGTACGCATGAGTGTGTCTAATCACAACGTTTTGGTGTCCATAGAATCACTTTTCTAAAATATAAAATTACTATATGTCCAATATTAAATTAAAAAAAGAAAGAAATATTTTTACTATATTCAAATGAAGAGATATTTGGGTCTGGGTAGCCCAAAACTAGTACAAAATGTAAAATGGGCTTCGGAGCCCTATACCCATCAACCTCTTTCGACAACCCATCAAAGCCCTAAGGACAAAATGGGTAATAAAAAGTTTTAAAATTAGGGTTTTAGCGTTCTATATCCAACTCCGCCTTGAGGTCCTAGAGAGAAGTCGCAGCCTCGAGATCAAACAGGAAGCAAAATGGTACGTTTTATTTGAGTTTGTTGCACTTTGCTTTTCACTGAATTCACCGTTTCTCTTAGTCATGCTGTTACGTAACGTTTCGGTTTCTCAGTAAATTTGAGAAAAAAGTTGAATGGAGATTTAGAATATTAGTATCATTTGTGTGAGCTTACAGCTTTCGTATTTGTTTGATGATAGCTAAAGGAGGTACTTTGAATTGCATATATATATATATACCATGCAGTTGATTTATAGCTAATTTTTGTTTCCCGATGAAGTGCTTTTTGGTTAAATTCTTATGTGCTTGAACTAAATTTGTGTACCTCATGATTTGGGTGTATATTGATCAATTTCAAATTTCAAATTTGATTTGTGGAGGACATGATAAATATTTAAGTTAAAAACTAAAGATCAAAATTATTTTAAAAGGTTTAGTATTTGGTTCCAATTTAGAATGGGCCTCAGTGATTTTGTGTTTTGGAGCTGAATACAAAAGCAGTGGTTCATACAGTAACGATTCTGGAAAATGAACAGGTTGTTGTGTGTTTCATTTGAAGCATGTCTGCCCAGGGTTTGTCCCACCCGTT